CGCCCTGCCTATGATAAACGCTACAACGGGAGAGGTTTTGGAACGGCATTTATTGGGAGATATGCCTCCAAATGTCAGCAGCTGATTAGGTATCGCTGCTTTGAACCCGTTTGCAAATCGATAGCTTTTGCTTTGCGGGTCACAAATCAGTGTACCGATCTCCAGCGCTTCCAAATTCCTTACAACTGTAGGATGATCTGATAAAAAGTTCGGTTTATCTTTGTTCATCTCGAGCCAACTGACTTAATTATGAAAACTAAAAAGGCATAATATGAAAAAAACTGCAGCAGGAAGGGAAAAGGTACCGGTTTCATGGTTCTGCATCTGTTTCAGAGTTTTTCGGAACAGTTTTCGTTTTTTTGTGAGAGTGGTACGGTGATAATTATGTTGGTAGTTACGTGGTTGATTAACCGGAAAGGAACCAGTTACCAGAAATGCATAAAAGTATCGCTTCAATAATGCCAAACATTTTTAGCAAATTCGAAAAAGTGGTAAATGTAATCGAAATTCTGAGCCCAGTAGTGAAACTACAAAACGTTGTTGGTTGGCGAGCCAAGTCAAAGCGCAGAACAGAGACTGCACAGTGGTGTAGTAACTGATTTGCCATTTCAGACAACGCTTCTACGCCCTTCACACATCCCGCAGCCATCAGCGCTCATGTCCTTTTAAAATGTGCCCAGGAAAGAGGATACGTGAAACCCGGACCTTCCAACCAGACCGTTCAAGTTACGCGCATTGATCCGGCAATCAAGTACCACATCGAGAATCCCCAAACCGTTCAAGGGAAAATCCGTGATAGTGTCTTGGATCCTAAACGCTTCGCGTTAATTACACTTTCGCCTGTACCTAATACCTGTGTTATAGATATCACTGTAGCGCCTCTTGCCAGCAGCACGCCAAATTCTATTACTGGGCGTTCATTGCGATTCGTTTCTGAAGCGCTGGACCAACAACCGGGTTTGTCCACCACAGCTCTGACGGGAGTAGCGGCCGGGAGCACTGGGCTTATTTTACTGGTTGCTATAGCCCTTTACCGCTTCCGCAAGAAATCACTCTGGTCTGTAAGTATAGTCATTATTCAAAATCGATAGTCGTCCGTGAATCCATGGACAGTACATGGTACAACATTGGTGTACATGCGCGGACGCTTTCGGTTCCGCGCTCTCCCGAATATTTCCTGCATTGTCTCATGTAAACGTATGGAAAACTAATTTTGTACACGTTCGCTTGATATTTTTCCCCGCCACGTCCGTCTTGAAAGCTGTGGGTCAAACGAGATTCCCAAAACTGTAAACACCCACAGATGCACAAAAATTTCATTACACACCATTTTGTTTTGAATTTCGCAAGCAATCGTACAAATTTACTAGTATAGGTCTCAGCAGCCCTAAGGGCAAGCAAGCGAGCGACATATAGACATTTTTTGCAAAAACAAAGATAGCATCAAGGATGGCTCCCATATTGCAGCTGTATGTAGGCGTAGGAGTGCAAGCCCTTAGTATTTTTTGCTTAATTCGGCAAATAAACAAAAGAAATGGCGCACGAAGCAACGTGCAAAATGATTAGTATGTTAACTTTTAAACCCAATAACACTGTATGATGATTCCTACCGACATTTTAGTGTATGTTTTTAGTGTTAATGCAAGTAATGACTTGTCTCAAAATTATTTTCTTAAAGAGTAATGTTTCCCGTGGTACATAATAATATTATTACAACATTTAATACGACTGTAAGCCTCAGTTACTTTGTGCAAAATTATAATATTGCACCGATATGTCGGAGATATACCGACAGCCTTAAATTCTTTGTTTTATTCGAAAACTAACTGCTATCGATAAGCATGATTATTTAATGTTTTCTCGATAAAAACAAATCAGCAGAACATATTACGGATGATTAAGAATCAAGATGCCACCCCCAATGTGGGGAAGTGCTGAAAGTGGGGCAAAGATTTGTAAAATTATTGTACATAATGCAGAATGTGGAATAACGCAAATACCATCATTATCATTTCATCAAACAATCTTAATTACTACCAAGACGTCAAGGTTGCGATGCCGGCTAACGTAAGATATACCTCAACGATATATGCATCTGGGAAGCACTGTATCTGTACTGTCGAGTCAACTTGGCATTTTTTTCATTCGGCGAGTTGCATCCGATTTAAATAGGATATAACTCACTGTACAAAACGGTGCTGCCAAGTGAGTCGACAAGAAAATGCCTGAAAATCTTTCTCAAATTCCTCGAAAGAAGGGTTTGCATCCTTCTGGTGTTCGATATTTTCTAGAGATGGGAATACTATATCAGTGATAACGACTTCTGAATCAGAAGTTTCGATTGCCCCTTCCATTAAACATTATTCTTAACACTGATCTTTTGCACATGGTAAGCTTTTAAGTTCATAACAATTTAACAACAGTATAAAACAATGATGATTTAAAGTCGGAATATGCAAATAATATTACGTTCACATAATATTGGACATAATAATTATTAATTCAGAACGGGTGCCTAAAATAAACACTCTGCGAAATGGGGTGCCTATAATAAACAAGGGTTTTAGGGGTTGCCTATAACGGTTTCCTTAAAAATATTCGGAAATATTAAGAAATAAATTGAGAAATATTCAGAAATATTTAGAAATATCTAGAAATATAATCAGAAATACTTACAAATATTTAGAAATATATTCAGAAATATGTAGAAGAAATTAGCAATGTTTAAAAACATGTGGAAATTGTTGGAAGTATTTTTCAAAAAGTTTAAAATTATTTCTAGAAACATTTAGAAATATAAATAGAAATATCTGGCATCTTTAGAAATATATTTAAAAACAATTAAAAACATTCAAAAGAATTTAGCGTTTTCCAGAAATATTTAGAAATAGGTAAAAAGTTATTTTGAAATATTTAGAAGCATTTAAAAATATTTAAGAATATTTAGGAGAATTTAGCGATATTCAATAGTATGTAGAAAAGTTTTTAGAAATATTCATAGAATATCTTTAGAAATATTTTTAGTAACACTTAGAAATACATATGAAAATATCAGAAATCTTTGAGAATATTTTTAGAAATTTTTAGAGCAATTTAAATGAATTTAGCAATATTTAGAATTATTTTTACTAACATTTGTTAATTATATTTGGAATTATTCTTAGAAATGTTTAAAAATACTAATTTAATTCAAACGCTCGTTCAAAACTTTATCCTTGGACTTCGAAATCTTTATTAAAAAGTTTATTCAAAACTTCAAAATGATGTTGCAAAATATCTACACATAGCACTACGTGGCTTTGGATGCAAAATATGAATGAAAATATGAGTTTATGAAGTGCACTGTAGTCATTGTTCACCCTTTTTGGAGAAGGTACAGTTAACACTTCTTTTTTCAGTCCAGAGGGGTTTGCGCTGCCCCTTTGATGATTTGTCAAGAGTACTTAAACTGGCCCCGTACAAGTTGTTCAGTTAAACGTCACAACGTATGATGCGGTGCATTGTCCATATATAAACCAAAGCATAGCGTAGAATTTGTTGTAAAATTGTGTTTTGGCCACGACAATTGACCACAGCAAATGAGACATTCTTTTTCGTTTAGTCTAACATTCATCTGTCTTTCAAAATATCAAAATTTTTTGAATTAACATCCGGTGACGGGACCCTGGTTAGAAACAATGAATTTGTTTTTAAGATTAACAAATTATTTAAATTTATTTAACTTTTTTAGATATGTAGTATTTTTAAAAATATTTGAAAATATTTTTTAATATTTAGAAACATTTCCAGAAATATTTAGAAATATATAAGGAACTACTGGAAATCTTTTGCAGAAAAGGTTGAAATATTTAGATAAATTTAGCAGTTTTTAAAAATATTCAACCATTTTTAGAAACATCTTAGTAATATTAAGAAATTTATTTTAAAGAAATTTTAAAAAATACTTTGAGTAATATCTTAAAATAATTGCATGCATAAGCTACATACAACTTCTGCAAAAGCAGCATAATAAAATCCTAGATTATCCTTTTCGTACACCAAAAGTCATTTACAAACCAACCCGGATACTTCGGTTGGACTCGCCACATTAAACTGTACCAGAAAAGTGCAAAATCCCGGTGGCGACCTCGGGGAACCCGAGACCTCGAACCCGGGGACTGGGTTAGACTTGCCACATTAAACTGTACCAGAAAAGTGCAAAATCCCGGTGGCGACCTCGGGAACCCGAGACCTCGACCCCGGTACTTCGGTTAGACTCGCCACATTAAACTGTACCAGAAAAGTGCAAAATCCCGGTGGCGACCTCGGGGACCCAGCGACCTCGACCCCGGGTACTTCGGTTAGACTCGCCACATAAAACTGTACCAGAAAAGTGCAAAATCCCGGTGGCGACCTCGGGGACCCAGCGACCTCGAACCCGGGTTCTTGGTTCTTCGATGCCATTCGACTCAGCGTGTCGAGTTGTGCAGGTTAGCAGCAAAAAGTCAGCGGCGAACCCAGGAACCCGGGTTCGAGGTCTCCGTGTCACAGAAAACTCAAATCTCATCTATAATAACGCAAGCTCGCTTCGCTCGCTTGCTTGATTATGATTCAAATGAAGACTGCTGTCACACCAAACCAAGGTTATATCATTTTTAGTACAAATTTCAGGCGAATTTCACAAATTCTAACTTTGTTAGGTAGATCAGCAATTAAAAATTTTATACTGTAAATAAACGCTAGAATGATCTCAACATTAGTTGTGTCTGTTTTTTGCAAAATTTTAAGAAGATGGGCTGACGATGATACTTTTGATACATCTGCTTGCGTTAAACTTTTTGGAACCGTATTCACCCATAACTTGCCAACTAGCTTTCTAACCCAAAAACAGTTTTCAGGACAACGTGCTGCATACAAATAAATTAGCTGTCTACAGAGCATCTTAAAGCAGTGCAAAGGAGTGTTGGGGAGTGTGGAAACGTTCCACGTGTGTACACACACGTACGTATCCTTTGGACACCATGTACCGGATCACCTGGCCTTTAGCTGTCTTTTTTCTCATCCAGAACATTTTGCGAACGGTACTGTTACAGAATCCCGATGACCGCCGCGACGACATGCAGAAGCTCGTTTCGGCGTCGACGATGTCGTATTACGAACGGCAGGCCTGGACGGTGGACCTGGGTAAAAAGGTCGATCAATGGATGCGTGTACAATTAGCGCATGTCGTGATGTTTTTCCGTGTTAAAGGTACTAAACCTGAGGACCGGATTTCGAAGGACAAAGCGGAATAGCCGTGAAAGGCTGGCTAATCCCCAGAAATGACGGGAAACTCTTAGACCGAACACCGTCGCAGTGTCTACCGGTCGCGGTTAAAATGCTGCGGGAAGCACATCCCGACAACCGCAGCATCGCCGGGTTCCTGGCGGAAACGAGTATCCTGACGAAGGTCGGCCGTCATGTCAATATTGTCAATTTGGAAGGCGTGGTCTTACAAGGTAATTCCGGGCTCGTTTTGCTCCGCTTGGAAATAATAATATCCGTATGACTTTACCAGAGATCATGCTGAACAGGTCGATTGAAAATCGTTATGGAATACTGCGAGATCGGAGCTTTAGACGGTTTCCTTAGAAAGTTAAAAGGCGCGACGACGTCGGAGTCTAAAGAAGTCGTTCGGCTGGTCAACGGTTACGTCGCCTTTGAGAAGAACCAAGATAACCAGCTTGTCGCCACACCGGATGTGACCGAGCTAATATGCATCGCCCACCAGATCAGTCGCGGCATGGCGTTCTTGTCAGAGAAGAACATTATCCATCGTGACTTAGCCGCGCGCAACATCGTGCTGACGGTTGACCGAATTGTGAAGATCTGCGATTTCGGCATGGCCAGGGGAGCAGCCACAGTACGTTCTCGAACGAGATAAGGTAACAAAGGCAGCTTTACCAGAGATTATAGTTCCATGTTGTGGGTAGGAGCAGCCGAATCGATTACAACTTTTAATCGGGGAAACAGTTCAATTAGGCGTTGTGATGAGAGAAAAAAAATCTACATAATATGTTGCAAGCGAAAGAAACTGACGTTTGTCACCTGCATGCTATTATTGACCACAGATGGCGGCAGAGTAAGGCGGTCGCCAGATCGCCAAAACGACAGTAGTAATCCGCAGTAGGCCTAAACCTGATTTCGCCTGCCTTGGCTAGACCTTCATGATTGCAGGCTTACAGCTACCGTTTCGAAATTTTGGTAACGAGACCTGGTATACAGTAGTCTCTTCTTTAGCACATCGAGTCCGTTGTATAATCGTCAGCTAAATGATCGTAGGTGCCGTTGCCGGTGTGCTGGATGGCGCCGGAATCCATGGTTCCCGGGCATGGTGTCTTCAGCACGCAGAGTGATGTGTGGTCGTTTGGTGTGGTCCTGTGGGAAATCTTCACCTTAGGCGATGTCCCGTATACCACGGAGTTCTCCCACGGGATTTTCTACGACGTGTTGTACGGATTTCTACGGAGTGGCGGTCGATTGAGGATTCCCAGCTTATGTCCCGAATCTGTGTACGTATCCTAAACCTACAAATGTTGGAAGCTCTATCTTGTGTGGTGTTTCGTTACCTTTTTAAAGTGCTGGTGCGAATTCCGTGTTTGCTTTGTCTCAGAGCGGTGATGATGCTGGAATGCTGGGATTTCACCGCTGAGAACCGACCCACATTTGAACTGCTGCACCAGAAACTGGAGCAGTTGCTTCCGGTGGCTCTTCGCAACCGCTACGTAATCTTTGATGCGGATAATAATAAGATCAATGAAACATTAGAAATAACTGCGACGGAAATTGATATGGATGGCAATATTGCCGAACTGGTCAGTGATGATTAGTGTGCGTGCTGTAGATCTGCGCTTGGACGACTGGCTCTGTTTTTCATTAACTGCAGCAGTATGACGCTGGCAAATTCACCTTCATACTCACCTAATTCACGAGACTTCTGACTTGCTACATACGTCTATCGATTTTCATGCTTTTTACTTGTGTACCGATTAACTTCCGGCAAATTAAGTGGATGGTAGTGAATAAATTTTGTTAATGTTGTTACTAGTGTTTTTAGTTATCCATCAAAGTGTCCGAAAAAACCACTGGTGTTCAATCGTTTTGTGGCAAAAATGGTGTTGCAGTCCATCTGGTTCATATTAAGTTTCTGATTTTATAATTATACAATTCTAACGGCGCTACCACTGTGAGACATTAGAAATGAATCGCTGCAAAAATTCGGCCGGGTGGGTGGATGTGCGAGAGGTGGGTGAACCGTCGATGAGGTCGGTGATCTTCTGGGCGATGTAGAAAAATCTTAACATCCATGGTCTGCTGTATCCAGCTTCTAACGAACTAACATCCTTGGACCTCAATCACCTCACTTACAGTTGAAATCAGGATCAGCTGAAACTGGTTTGTAACTTTTTTCCCTACCTTTACTACGGTTTGGTATCAGCACCCAGATAAAAAAATATGTTTTAAATGTTCACGACTTTATTAATCGGTCATTGAAATGACTTTAGCAATGTCTCGACTTGCGCAGCGCATTCTGGGGATGGTACAATGCTTATCAGCCACTGTTCTACGATGTCACAGCAAAAGTGCACAGTTTTAGCGGTGTTACTTGATTCGCGAAGTCTACTATTTATTTATTTGATTCGCAAAAATAGTTAACGGCGCGCCGGCGTGTTACACTGTAATGAATTCACTTTAACAAACAATTCACAAGCGCAACTGTATCTGTACGTGTGCCCTTTTAGCAGTTTGATTCAGGATGTCCTGACTATTATTCGGGCGGTACTTAGGAAACAAAAAACCACCTACTCCGAGAAAAAATTATATATAAACTGGCGTAATAGAGCTGTTTAGACAAAATTATACATAGCTAATTAATTGAGCACGAATTATTCTTGATATGTTTTTCCTGATAACTAGATAATTGTACCGTAATTGCTGGACATGGCGACAGATGCCAGTCGGTCTCTTTGCGCTGGACGCTTTGAATACTGTATCTTGGTGCACGTCTTGGCGATCCGTCGCAGCATATTCTGCATCTCCTGTTTCATGGCTGCAATGAAGAAATCCACTCTCGGCAAAATATCCAGCATGTACAGCTTAGGACTAAAAAGACGCATACCGTAACCCCATACCCAGATATCCGTACGCATGTGGCAAGTGCACTTGTACGACAACCGGATAGTTCAGCTGAGTCGTACAGCGCACTGCGCCGCATGCGTTCGGAATGCTGTGGGTGGGATTATGCGCCCTTTTTGTCCTACGCTGTAATGCTCCAGACCCTTACAAGCCATCACTTCCTTAACATACGGGGCCACTTCCAGGAAAATATGCGCCACATCAGCCAGTCGCACGTGGCTCTTGGCGTAGAGGAGCTTGGGCGGGCGAGTGGCCAAATCACCGAGACATTTGCTCAGGTGGCGGATGCGCTGGTTGGCCGTGGTGATAAAGTGCGCGACGATGGCCAGCAAGTGGTTGCGCGGGTAACTGAACTCCGCTTGTTGGTTGGCCGGCTGCGGTGGCTCGTGGATGGTGATGATTTTCGGACTACAGACCAGCACAGCAAATTGTCCTCATACTAAAGTACAACTGCAGACAAAAATCAAAATAAAACAGTTACATTTTTTTTTCGAAGTCAAGCGATCTCTGAAGCAACACACCAGAAACCTGTTGGACACCAGAAACTATCGCGGTAGCCAGTGTACTACGATCCTATGCTGTTTACTGGTACTGGTTTCGCACAGGCAGTTGCGCCAAGAGCAGCTGCAGTGTCTGCCCTGCTCTTACTGCGCACAAAATGTTTTCGTAAAACAAACATTCAAATGCAGCACATCACGAAGAATACAAATTCGGCCGACACGAAGAAAAATAATTGACGACGCAGTATACAGTACTGCATGTATTTTTTGTTCTTTTAAAGCCACAAAACTTTGATTATTCGTACCGGTCAACCTCCACATCGTGTTCGCGACCGGCATGCGACGGCGACGCCATGGGAGCGTTCTTCCGGGCGGCGGTGTAGCGGTCCGGCACGGCGAAGGGGCGGGTCAGGGATTCGATTTAAGGCTGCCGGCTAAGGAGATGATCTTCTGCAGTTTGTTGGTAGCAAAAGTAAAAATTTATCGCTCTTTAATCGTACCCTCAAAAGAAAAAGCTGTGTATCACTGCCTTGGCATATACACCGGACATGTCACCATAAGTTCATAACGGCCGTACTTCGGGACGAACTCTCAAGCGGGAGGGCTTGCTCACTGCTTGATAAAATGATTATATTTCACAGTTTTTCTGTGGTGCTGATAAAATAATTCCCGGCTGCGAGAATCTTCGTTTAATTATAAAAGTTTTACGATACCCACACAATCTTCTATAGGTTTTATAGGCAGCATGAGTAACAGTTTGGAAACGAAATTCTGCAAAAATAACTAGGCTGTTTCGCCAGAAATTATCTTTACTGTATATTACTACTACTAGCAACGGTTAATTTTGGGCACTGGTTTTGGTTTTTCGACATCACGCCATCGTACTACGATAACACTGCACTCTCCAATTCTAGAACAGTCAAGCCTTATTATAGCGCTTGGTACTTCAACACTTTCATCGTCCGCCATGAATCGGAAACGATAAAAATGCTTTACTACAGAAATATTACAGTTTCAGCTGACTATAAAGTATAAACCCAATTTTAATATGCACTGTCCAACCATCCTTATTTTTTCCAGAATATCTAGACTGTACGGAGGATGATGGATGAGGTTTAAACAAAAAAAGAGATTATTAAAAATGGAACAAGCTTTACTAACTGATTTATAAAACTGATTTATATCTCGAAATTTGTCTATTTCGAAAAGCATGATTATTTGATTCGTCTTGTCCAGGGTGGCGATAACCACTTCACTACGTTCCTTCCTGTTTTTTCTTACGGGCAGCCCGCATATATCGTGATAATAATTATTCAGACAGCGTACTTGAGTATGGAGTTGAGCTCTTCGGCCTCTTCGTGGTTCATCTCCTTGCGCAGATAGTTGGTGATAAACTTGCTGATCTTGACGGAGCAGACGACACATACTGTAAGACGGTGGTTGTAGATGCCATTTCCCCGTCGTCAACCAAGAGAAGCTCCCAGCAAACAGGAAACATGCGCTCCAGCTGCTTCTCGTCTTCACCGACTGTACATGTTCGATAAACTTGCATACATATCATTACGATTTACGTATCTGCAGTGAAGCTGAAGATTACGGTATCCGTATATCTGTGCAGTTTGCAGTGCTCAGAGGCCCAGGGCAAATGTTGGCCTCCACTGACCATACGTGACAAATATATGGAACAGTAATGTGATAAGTACAGCTTACGTATTACAGCACAGTAATGCTGCTTGCTGGTTACCAGGAACGTACGGGCTTGGCTACTCGAAAATAAATCAAACATTTGGACATGCGCATCGGAATGTTGATGTTAATTCTCGTAGTTCTCGCTTTTTGTCCGTTCGTTTTTAATAGATTGTGTTCGCAAGCGCAAAAAGGCTTACGATATGCGGTACGATATACGATAGGCTCTTGCACGTCATCATGGCGTACCCTTATCGGACCGTCTGACGATAGGATTGACGATAGAAAGCAAAGCTATCGTCAAGCTTACCGTTAAGCCCTGCGAAATAGCAACCGCTCTTAGTGGCGATTGCATCGACTGGCACGGCTACAAGTGCCAACTCACGAAACTTTTGAGGTATCAGAATAAGTTCGAATGGTTTTTGATTAACAAACGGAGTAAATCAGAAGAAAGACAATATTAAAATAAGTTTTTTGATACCACGTGAGGGCAGTTTGTTCAAAAACCAATGGTTTTGCAGCTGTTTCAATTTACCATGCAAAGCCTACGGCGTTGTTGGAGTACTCAGCGCGAACTTTTTACTCGAACTCCGTAGACGCCTGTTTTAACTTCAAATGTTCATAACAACGCTCACTGGCGCTCAAATCTAGCAGCTTTGGTGTCAAAACAATAATTTATAATTTAGTTTCATCGGGTTCACAACTAAAAGCAGTTTAGCACAAACAAGCCCCAAGGGTTACTGAAACTTTTTACATTTCACTTCGGAGGCAACATTCGACCGTATAACGTTTATCGTTTGTCGCCTGTGATGAGAACGAACACTATAAATTACCGACGATATGCTTACGGTACGGTGCTGCATCGTATCGTACACCGGACCGTCTATCGTTGGTGTGTGGCGAACACAATCTAATAAATTTAGGTCTACGATCTGACCTCACAGTAAACTGTGTTTCTCGATTCTGGCAATCGTGATCATAGCTGCTTCGTGACCTCGCATCCTTTTCAAACCTGAACAGTCAGTTGCTCACTGGAAGCGCTGAATAAGCAATTCCAGTTGAGATGCTTCGAGAACATCGTAACAGAGCTAGCAGCCGTTCGCGCTTCAGGATTTTCTTGAGATAGTGTTGTTGTCCAAGAGTTATGAGAATGCTGTAGTTTCAATTAATTGGCGAATGTGTTATATTTGTACTTAAAATCGGTGGAGAGACTGTACAAGGTTAAACGAACCGCGGGCCGAGGTGTTGATCAATTATTTAATTGTTTAACCCATTTTTTCTCCCGTGGAGAAGTAATCCGGCTGAGCAGACACTGGTCAGCCAGTCCATAAAGACCAATCTATTGTAACGGGGGAAAACACCGGCAACCGCTGCACAACGCAGGCACCGGCGTCCAGAAGTAAACACAGAAAACCATGAAAAGAAAAAAACCAGCACGAATCAAAGATGAAGGTGTGAGTGTCAGTGTGTGTCAGTAGGCGACAAAATCTGGAGCAGAGTTCAATTGAGAGAAGAAGAGACAGCGCAGAGCATAACAATCCAACGGAACTTCAAAAATCCTTTCTCTGTAACATATGCCAACAGAATGCATCGGGTTTGAAATCACCAGTAGTGAAACGCACGTCAACGGTGTCTCCGTTGTCCAACCAACGGATCACCGGAAATGGACCGCGTCAATAATTCCAAAATCTTTTCCAATAAATCTCCAGTCAAATTTCCACTGGGTAGATTTTCGCAAAATTTTATTCCTTTACTAAGATTCCGATTAATTGTTAATGGAATCATGGGGCTCGAAATTCCGGGTATTATTTCAGCAGAGAAATCTCTTCATCGTCGTTCAGTGACTCCACACTGTGCGTCCGCATTGGGACGTTGGCTTTGATGGACGGCGGGCGTGCCGTGTGCACCACCGACACCGTGATGACCTTGCTGTTGACGTTGTTCGGAACGACGTTGTCTTCGCGCGGCGGCCGCGTTAACTGCACCATCTCCAGCGCCTCCGGGACTTCCGAGCTGTTGACCTTTCGCATGGACGCGTGGTGGTGATGCGGCCCGGTGTGCTCGCCATGCTGTGCTTTCTGTCGCGTCAAGGTACTTCGTTTCCGCTCCGGCAAGCGACTCTCCACGGCGTTGGTCTCCGATTTCTCGATCAGCACGGGGATGACGATGGGCGGCGAGCGGCGCCCGCCCTGGGAGGACGACGAGCGGTCCTGTTGGACACTTTCTTTGCGGCGCCCGTAGCGGAACCGCCCGAAATCAGCCAGGCGGTAGACCCCCTCGGTCTCGCCCTGGGAGCCCTCCTCCCCGGCGATCTGGGTGGGGGAGCGGCTGGGCGGGTGGATGTGCGAGAGGAGGGTGAACTCGTCAATGAGGTCGGTGGTCTCTTGGGCGATGCGGGCGAAGACCTCGGCATTGGAGCGTTCGGCGGAGATGGTCCCGGTTAAGGCGCGGCGGATGTTTCCCTGGATGAGCATCTCCTGTTCGCCCTCCTTCTTCGCCGCTTCGATAATCCGCAGGGCCAACGGGGCGAGGTGGACGAAGAGCGCCGTGCGGTGGACGATGGTGTACTCCAGGAACTGCCAGAACGCCAGACCCCCGTTGCCCTTTTCGGCGTAGTCCTGGATGGATTTACTCAGACGCAGCCACTCGGATCCGAGCCGGCCTTCGTAGCACGCCACCACCACTTTCAGTCCGAGGAAGGCGACGCGCCGAGATAATTCTTGGTGGCGGCTGGCGGCCAGTTGCTGCGATGAAGGCACGATGCTGGGCGGGTTGGACATGTTGCTGTTGGTGCGGACGATGTGCTGGTTGACGGCCAGCTGTTTGGACGTCAACTGCTTCGACACGGGCGGGTGCAGTAGCGACACAAGGGTGCGGACGATGTAACGCAGGTCCTCGATGCGCATGGGCGGGAGGTCGGTGCTCTCACTCCCGACGCGCAGGACGAAGGGGAAGAGGAAGCAGACGACGAGGCGCAGGAAGCGGTCGCTGAACTGCGCGCACAACTGCTCGAGGTTGCAGTACTCGCGGCCGGCCTGCAGGTAGATGGCGGTGAGGTCGATGGTGGCGTCGCGGAAGACGGCAGGGACGGTGACGAGGGGCGGGAGGGTGGAGATGGTGCCGGCGGGGATGGGCGAGGCCAGGACGGTGTCGCCCGAGGCGGCCTCCCCCAGGGTCAGGTGGATGCAGGTGCCCGTGATGGCGCGCAGCTGCGGCATCAGCGCCATCAGGTTGTTGGTGCATAATGTGCGGGATAAGCCCTGGATGATCTTGGCCGCGGCGTTCCTGTTGGCGAAATTAGAACTGATTTTAGCGGAATTTAACTGAATTTTACGGATTTTATTTGATAATGTAATTACAAAAATTAGGCATCTAATCGCGGCATCCATGTTACACAATTTTAAAGAACTTTTAAGTGAAATCTCCTTTAGTAGGAAACAATTTATTTAAAAAATTATGAAATTTTCATGTAATTACCGTACATTTAGCCACGACGCTCTTGTTATACAACTGATGTTTTACAGGAAAAGGTTTACTAAGGTTCACTGTGCCCACCCGTAATTAGTCAACATTATTTTACAGCGCATATAAGAGTCGATAAAAATTCTAAAATCTAAAGACCTTTTCCCTTAGACATCCATCATTCATCCATATAAAAAGTTTTTGCGAATTTTAGACCGGTTTATTTCCGTAATCATGCAACCAACATTACGACTTTTGCGAAGTATTCTCGTGTTCACATTAGATATCAGCCATTGTTCTACAATTTCACACCAATATAACACAATTTTAGCGGTAATTCCACGTGATTCGTAAAATTGTGTTCGGAAAATATTATTTAACAGACCAGACTTTCCGTCCATTTAGTTAGTGGTAGACATACCAATCCGTCTCCTTGCGCATGCTTGACGCCTTGGAAATCTTTGTAAAGGTCTTCTCGATGCGTCGCAGCAGATTCTGCAGCGCCTGCTTCATGGCTTCGATGGAGAAATCGACGGTGGGCAGGATGTCCAGCATGTAGTGCTCCAGACCCTCACAGGCCATCACCTCCTTATCATACGGCGCCACTTTCAGCAGGGTATGCGCCACGTCCGCCAGTCGTACGTGGCTCTTGGCGTCGAGGAGTTCGGGTGGGCGGGTGGCCAGATCGCCGAGGAATTTGCTCAGATGGCGGATGCGCTGGTTGGCCGTGGTCAAAAAGTGGGCGACAATGGCCAGCAGGTGGTTGCGCGGGTAACTGAACTCGGCTTGTTGGTTGGACGGCTCCGGCGGCTCGTGGATGGTGATGATCTTCGGTCTTAACACACCACAACATTAATGATCTTGCTACATGATACCAGTAATAAAACAAAAAAATCAGGAATAAAAAACAAACTGAAAAGTAGGAATGTCTAATGTCCGATACAGATTTCAGAAATGCAACGCGCTACAGACCTGACCAAAAGAGAAAATTAGATAGCCAGTGTACTACGTTTGTTCTGTATGTTGACTTACGTACTGTGCTTGTTTCGCACAAACATCTTATCGAAAACAAGTTACAGTGTCTGTCTGGTTCTACTCCTCCCTAAAACCAATATACAAATGCACACAAGTCCATCTAACTGCCGACAAGCCAGGCAGTGAAGAAGGTGCGAGCCGCACATATCGGCGCCGAAAAACATAACATTTTGATCATCATAGGAAACTGTCACACTAATTCAAAAAAGAAAAAAATCTAAATGTAAAAGGGCAGCATTTTCTAACATAAAAATGTTGCGATAGCACTCATAGGTTTCAGAATTACGCCGCACTGCAGCATTACTAATTTCCGATGACCACCTGAAGCAACCCGTGTAGAGATACTACACCAGTATCTTGTTTTATAGTACTTGGGTCGCACACGCAATTGATCAAGACCAGCTGCAACGCTTGCCATGCTCCTACTTCACGTAAATTATTTTCGAGAAACAATATAAAAATGCCGGGCAAACAAGACGAAAACATTTCCGATTCGGCTCGACAAACCACACTACCAAGGAAAATATCTGACGAAGCAGAGTACAGCACATATTTTTGGTTTCTTTAAAGCCATAAAATTTGGTGAAATTCTTACCGGTTGGCTTCCACATCGTGATCGCGACCGACATGCGACGGCGACGCCATGACCACGGAACGTCCCTCGGGGGCGGTGGGGGAGCGTACCGGCACAGCAAACGGTCGGGTCAGGGATTCGCAGGAGAATATAAGGGATTTCAGACTCCCGGCCAATGAGATGATTTTCTGCAGTTCATCCTTGGCGGTGCGGGCGCTGTCCGCTGGCTTCTCGTCATACCACACTTCCTCGTTCAACAGCGTCCGCAGCACCTGCAGCATCTGCGTCCCGCGCGGACTCTCCGCGCTGTCGAAGGCGATCACGGCGATGCAGCTGCTCACCGCCGAGGTCAGGATATTCTGCGCGGTGAGATCCCCCATGTCGGTCTGGTAGCAAAAGTCCAACGGCTGCAGCGGCTTCTTCACGTCCACCTACGGGCAATACGTCAGAAATTTGTTTCGTATCCATGCGTGACAGTATAGTAACCGAAAACCGAGTATTACCATAGTGGTGTGCATTCTTGAAAGAAAAAAAGGTGCCCGTCAGGATTTTATGCGTACGTACGTAAATGAATTTCGACCGTGTTCGCGCAATCTCGTATAAATTTGCAGGCTGATTTGACAAAATATTCATAAACCAGCGAAACCTGATGCTCAGGGTTAGTCTTAATGCTACTGTGTCTGTCTGTAATTGGTAAATAACGATATTTACATATAAGTTGATAGAACTGATATTAAATCAATGCCAGAATATTTTGGGAAAAAACTATTTCTGCTATGGACGCTATGCTGCTGCTAATTACGCAAATCGCGTAATTCAAGCAATCAGAATTTTTGTTGCGGCCCGACATAATTCCATTACACTACGACTTCACTACGACAGCTTGTTTCATGCACGCCCGTTTCAGGGGCAGTATTACACAAAGATACAAGCCCATTTTCAAACCTGTAGACCGCTGTAAGCGCGATGCAGTGAATAAGCGCACAGTTAAAGGCTAGATTTTATCTAATCTACACTGGATGCATTGGCGTAGAGCACTCAGTCTATCTCATACTTGTCTCTCTCACACACCCTCACACCGCAGTGGCGTTAATGACCAATACGCCGTGACGTGCCGAAGCACCTTGAATGGCTCAAGCCCACGTTTTTCAAATATCCCGCTTACAGCGGTCTACAGGTTTGAAAACGGGCTTGTACTATACGCACACTATAGTATTCACTGAATACTATAGTATGCGATAGTTCCCCGCATTCTTGAAACAAAGAACGTTGACAGTGGGGATCGTAATATATTTGTACTAAAATGAATTTTGCCAGTTTCCGCATTATCTCGCATATCTGTAAGACAGCACGTAAATTTGCAGGCATGTTTGAAAATATAGATAGTACTTAGTATGTCAGCGCTTATGATTATTGTTATTCGAGTGGCTACTGTGTATTGCCCAATAAATCACGAACTAGTTACTGATGCAATTATTTGGCTAAAATCAACGATATTTTTTATTTACATAAATTTACTATTAAATTATTGCCATCTTATTTAGCGAAAAATAATTCTCACATCAAAGTGGGTGTAATCACTGCATTCTGCTTCAGCTATCAAGCGAATCGAAAGATGCTTAGCGACTATTAATTTTGATGTCTGACCATTACACTACGACAACACACCGTTCCAAATGTGAGAAAAACGAAAGCAGCCTTCGCATTAGCGTTGCCTACAATTATGCAAAGCATCACAGACACCCGTACCTTTTCGAGAATATCCAGACTGTCCAGGGGATGATGGATCAGCGTGGCGGCAGCTGTCTGGACGACCTTGGACGGCCGCCGCGCGAAGCGTTCCAGCGAGAACAGGATCTTCTTCATGTGCTGCCGTTTCAGCGGTTTAATTCCGGTATCGGCCTGACTTAATTCAAGTAGCCCGGCGGCCGAGCCGAACATCTGGAGGAGGAAGGGGTTGCGGTGGAGGAGGAAGAACTGGCTGCAGGCGAACTCGATGGTGTGGATGAGGAGGTGGTTGGTCTGGTGGGCGGCGTACATGCGTAGGACGGTGGGCATGATCAGCAGGAAGCCGGTGGAGGCGAACAGGTGCTTCATGTTCTGTGCCAGGGTGATGCACGTCGCCAGACACAAGCGAAGCGTCGCCGAGTCCTGGCAGTGGAGCACCAGGACGCCGTTCAGAACGGACAAGAGCATCTGGATGTCGGCGTAGGAGAGTTGGACTTCGGAGGTGGGTCGGGAGAGGTTGCATAGTAGATGGGAAGCCAGCTGTAGAAACCACCGCCAATGGCTTGTATTTTTGAATTGTGGACAATTAAGTATCTTAATTCAATTTAATTTAATTTGAGCCAGAGCAGGTAGCCCATATCCGGTCAAGGTGACAATCTAGCAAGGGATTTGAACCTCACTGGATAGTGGATGCAACTAATAAGCTTCGCATAATATCAGTTGTGATGCTTGTATTTCGGCACAAGCATAACAACGGACATTATGCAAACCAAAGTTATGTAAATCAAAATTTAATTTAAATTTGTGAGAACAAAATTTTTATAAAAAAAAGGTAATCATCTACAGCAGTTGACTTTTAGTCGCACTAGACAAACGTGACAACTTGTAACTATGAACAACGACCCATATCATACGGTGCCACTGCACTACGAACAACTTTTTAACCACACGAACGCTAAGCCGAAATCTCTGACCATTTTAAATGCTGCAGCTCGTAAGTCGTATGCACTCTATTATACAGCTTATAAAATACCACATGCGTCTTATCTTACCTGCACCCAGGCGTATTTATGCATGACATCAATCCCCAGGTACTCCGACCCGAACGGTCCCTCCTGGAACTTGACATCGCACTCTAGCGCCTTCCGGGGGAAATTCGGGATCTTCGTGAGCCCGTCATCCAGCACCAGCGTCTGCTGTTGCTGCGCCGCGGTATCTGAGCGTTCCTGCGCGCTCAGAAACAGACTATGCACCAGGAACACCTTTTGCGCCTCCAAAAACAGATTGTGGTAGGCCTGCAGCTGCAGCTTGGAGAAGCCCTCCGTCCCCGGCGACCGCATCAGATTCAGCTGCGGGTAATAACTCCTTCGAAAAAAGTACACGTCCCTCACGTAACCACTGGGATGGTGCGCCCGCCCCGTGCGCTGGTCACATAAAATGTAGTTCTCCCGGTCGTTCAGTGGGATGGAGAAGAAATCCAGCGCTTCGGTTAAGAGTTCCTGGAACTGGGTGTCCTCGCTGACGGGGATCTGCGAGGGGATCTGGGTGAGGTCGGGGCCGTGGACGATGACCTTTTTGGCGCCGGGGACGTTGGCGGTGAGGAGGAGGTGGGCGTCGCACTGTTCGCGGCGCAGGATGGTCTTGATCTCCTTGAAGGAGATCCCGTCGACGGAGGGGACGATCTGCCACATCACCGACATGACCGCTTCCACGCCGTGGTAGTTGTTCTCGTTGGGGTTCCGCACATAGGACATGCAGTAGCCCAGCTGTTAAGCAAATCGTGAGGGTTAATACACATGCACGCTATCTATCTCATTCCCCCATTCGCCTCGTCTAAGAGTTTCTCGCTTTCGTAATAATCTTCTTGTGTAGCTGAGTGGTTAATGTATATGTGAACAGGTACCATATTTGGTAGTTTTCGCAGCATTCGAAAAAAAAGAACTTGACTCTGACAACGGAATATCTCTAGCATGACAATCTAAACGGCATGTATCTCAGCTTATTTGGACCGAGGCCTGAGCCGCTTCACTACATAGCTACGCCTTATTAATGCCATTCCGCACTGCTAGTTTAATTACTGGCTCGTGGCCGTAAAATTAGTAATTCAGTGGAACGTACCAGATGATTGAAGATGGTGCAGGCGGCCTGCGGCGGCAGACGCGGCATGAAGGCCAGTAGTTTGCGGATTTTGCGCAGGATCAGCGCCTGCTTCTCCTTGTTGCTGACTTTTTCCAGGACGTAGCGCAGAAACAGCACGGCATCCTCCACGATGCCTTCCCAGATGGTGTGGAAGGCCAGATCACACACTGTATAAAAATGGTATCAGGATGCTGACGCAGCCAGATTTTTCGGCGCTTATCGCCGAATTCATCCGAATATTATCATTACACCCCACCATAATTTTTAAATCTACCATTAACTGTAACACGCTACAGAAACAATGATCAAGAATGTTAGTTCACCCAATCAAAAAACAAGAAATCAGCCAGCCAAAAAAGAAGACGAATTTCAAACTTAAACGTCGCAGTATTGAGCAGCATTCCCTTCGGTTATTAATTGGAATATCAACCAATAGAAATTTTGTCGCAAAGCTAAATCAACTATAAAACATCCGCAATAAAAAAGATTAATATGGGCTAACCGGAAATGCCGCAGTTGTCGACATCGACATCATCCAGCAGATCCACCAGCTGCAGAATGGCCGTGCCCAGCGCCGTGGGGAACACCGGTAGCGAGGTGAGGGTGTGCGTGGCCACCGTGCCGGTGTCGGCGATCATCCCGTTCTCGTCCACTACAGTCGTTAACAACAGTATTAGCCGTTTGGATAAATCGGCAAATAAATATACTAATTGTGTAGGATTATCCTAATAGTTAATACTTATTATCCTATTATATAATGTTGTGTCACAATAAAAAAAATAATCACCGAACCTTCAATCTCCCGTTCATCCACGACCTGGTGCGGTACGGGCTCGATGGCGGCCATCTTGAGCACCGGCAGCATGCTGACCTTGACCCGTTCGCGTTCCCGCTGGTTGCGCTCTTCTTGGGCGCGCAGGGCCTTGTTCATGGACTCCTGCAGCTGTTTGCGACGCGTCTGGGTGGCCGCCACCAGGGTGTTGGAGTTTTTAGACTGCCAGAACCGAAACCAGCGTTAGAATGCTAATGCCGCTCATGTCAACCATAAAACTGGATTGATAGTACAAGTACTGTGTTATTTCACAACAGTTCTTCGTGCATGTGCCGATGTGCGCACTGTTACTTTTATTTCAGTGCGTGTCAATTAGGTCAATTCATTAAAGAAAACAAAAAGAAATAAGTAGTGAGTAATTGTCAATTTTATGTGCGAAAAAACAGCGCTAAATTTACAGTACCAGATATTTTCGTTTAAATGTGATTACAAGGCACTGGAAAGGGAGGCTTCTTGACTGCCTGTGCACTACATCATTCTAAGGTTGGGCATTCCAAGGGAAACGTCCCTTTGGAACGGATTTTGGATTGGAACGCGGATTCCAAAATTTGGAATCCAAGATATTCCATGGATTCCATGGAATGCGTTCCAATCCGCGGAATCGCAATAAGTTAGTGGAATTACCGTAATTAGGCATTATAATTAATCGCAGATGCTGTTTTTCTCAATTTATAATTGACGTCTTTCGTTTCAGTAGCTTTCTACCGTTAAATTTAACTCTGAGGCTCAAAATGTTCAGATGTATCACAACATACGGCGTCAGTCATAAGCCAAATAGATTGCTCTTCTACCAGTTAAACTCATAGTATGATGCTGCTGTATGTAGTTGAACTGTAAGTTATTGTTAAACTTCAAACAAAATACTTTTTTAATTTACCTTACTTTAAATTATTACTATCGCATCACAATCATAATAAAACGTGCACCGTAAGATAATATATGCAGTGCCGCTGTAGCTAGCTAACACTGCAGCGGCACTGCCAGTATATTGTCATTTGCCGGATTTTCAAATTATTGAGTCGCTGCTTACTAATGGTGTCCACGTGCATTGAATGAATTCACGCTTTTTCATTCAAATTTATCATTCAGCAGCAACAATGCGTAGAAATTATCATGCATTGAATGAATTCAAAGTATGTAATAAGCGAAAATCTGGATGACGATTACGTGAATTTATCCAAAATACCAGTGATGAAGAGGGAGGGAAATCCTTCCTCTTTATTCATAAATAAAACTTTCTGGCCAACCGCTATTGCTGCCTGCCGCAACCGTGGGCGGATGGATTGCCGATATAAAAAATACAGATACACCGGGCAGGTGCCGTGCCAGTTGTTTCATGGCATGAAGTATATGTAGTCGACTATCGCCATTCAAACCGCCAAAACGAAACATTCATCGGCACGTTTCACTTCAGTTTTAAATCATAACATTTTACTCTACTTCATGAGATTTGCATCAAACGTGCATTACGCCAGTGCATGTGGACACCTTAAGTCTCATCTGTAAGCCTTTGCTCCAGTATAGCGCAACGAGTAGCAGTGATTCACATAGGTGTTTAATATTAAAGTATGAGAATTTACGGGTCCCGAGCTTTATAAATATTTAAAATTATAAAGCTTCCTCACCATCACGCCAAACCATCGGAAATTTTAGCCTAAAACCACTGAGCTTTGGAGCAAACGGAATTTAAGAGCCCAGAGTCAAATTATGCAAGGTAAACTTTGTGATTTTTAACGCAAATTAGCTAAGACTAATTGAAAAACGCCTTTGAAAGCTTAATTTTGGTAATTCCAAGGAGAAAAAGAATTCCAAAAATTCCACGTGGAATCCGCGAAATCCGCATTCCATTCCAACTGCCTCTTGGAATATGCGGATTCCGTGGAATCGAATTCCACGTGGAATTGGATTGGAATTGGAATGCCCACCCTTACATCATTCCACTGCTAACCCGTCTGTACAGTGCCGCAAATAAACGTGACTGATTACTGTTGATCGTTGGCTTGTAAAAGCAACTGCTGCATCAAGTATCAACTCAGTGTTTCTCACACTTGTATCTCTCACACACACTTTTCACGCCGCAGTCCGCACTGACCGCGGTGGCGTGAAAAACGCATAACGTGACGTGCCAAAACACACTGAATGGCTCAAGCCCACGTTTCTCAAATATCCCGCTTGCAGCGGTCAAAAAATCTCGGGCCGGGTTTGTAAGTGCCTCTTACTTTGTATTACGGAAATACGAGTACTGTACCTATTATTCGAAAGCGCTCTGCACCGGAAAAACTATTTAGCAACTGGCTTCGGTGCCGCAGAAATGACAGCATTTTTCAGGCGGATCTCCAGATTTTCAGTTTTAGTTCACGAATTTTCGGGTGCCTAACAATCTTTCTATGCGCTCTTAAATTTTAATTCCAAATACAAGTGGTCGATTACCTCTATTACAGTAATATTATAGCTAATCGAAGTTCTCCCTTGAACGTCTTGTTTTGGGAATAAAACTCTTTTACTCCGTTAGCGTACCTGTTCTTCCTGGCTGATGGCCACTTCCTCGATCTTGATGGAGGTGGGCGGCAGCCAGGGCGCGTCGGGGCAGTCAACGTACGGGCGGCCGATCAGCGGCGAGGGGAGGGTGTAGTCGATGTTGAGGGCGTGGCTCACGCGCATGATGGCCTGCGCGCCGTCCTCCAGCCGGATCCACACTTGGTAACGGTAACGCCACAACGCCTGGAACCTAACCGGCAACAGAAATTATTCAGAAAACAAATTTGCATTTGCGCTGTAGCCAATCTTTGGCCTTTGGGTAACTTGTTCTAGCCTTATAACAAAATTACAGTTTCGCAAAAAAAGTGGCAACTGGCTTTATAACATGTGTGATAGAATCTAAAGATTCCTTCGTTTCGAAACTGGTATAGGTATGTTGACCAATCTGCCAGTCATACCGCCTGGCCAATACCCACTGCACTACGCTTGTCGCTTGTCCATGTGATTTCGTACGGGTAGCAAGTAAGTGTAATGACAAGTAAGTCAAACAGCAGCCTCTGCTGCCTCGAATTGGGTCTACACCCAGAATGTGTGCGGACGTTAAACCATTAAACTAAACTAAACTAAAAGCAACAACCTACTTGAGTATGGAATCGACCCGCTCCTCAGCCTCCTCGTGGTTCATCTCCTTGCGCAGATAATCGGTGACGAACTTGCTGATCTTGACGGAGCAGACGACGCACAAGACGGCGGTGGTGGAGGCCACTTCCTCGTCGTCGACCAAGAGCAGTTCCCAGCAAATAGGGAACATGCGCTCCAGCTGCTTCTCGTCCATCACCATCAGCCCCTTGGCCAGCGCCCCGAAGGGGGCCGCGAAGAGGCTGAGCACGTGCTGCTTCAGGTAGCGCGACATGGCGCTGAGCTCGGCCTCGTCGCGCGGGTAGTAGTGCAGCTCCTCCGCCTTGGCCCCGCCCCCCGCGGAGGCCTCGCCGCGCTCCTTCTCCTTGCTCTCCGTGGTGCTCTCGTGGCGCAGCTTGTTGATGGACTCTAGCGAGGCGTTCTTCTCCAACGTGGTCGATTTGCTCATCCGACTCAGACCGGCGTAGTGCGACGCTTTGCGGAAGATGCGCAGTTTCCGCTGCGACATCGACGGCGTCGTCGGCGTCTGGCTGCCGCTGTGCGCCTGCAGCTCCATGATCTACAGTCAGACCAGGAATTTGTACATAATTCTTGGCAAAAAATTATAAAAAATGTTGCCTACAAGCGAATATTTAAAAGCAAATATCGGACATTCAATTTTATTACATCATATTCTAAGCATCTACGTAGTACCTAGGTGTGCGGTTCATATGATAAAAATATCTGTTTATTATAAACGCTTTCGTTGAGAACGGGAATCAACGAGAAGACCCTTACGGGGTCATCAGTTTTCGACTTTTCGCACCGTAGTATAGCAGACTCTCTACGTGTCCGTTTGAAAAAGCCGTTACGACTGCACTTCAGCGAATTAACTGCGCCAGTTTCTTCCACAGTGGTACTCACAAAACCGGCCGGCAAAAACAATTTAAAACAGTTTAAGATTTTTCACTATCTACTTTATTCAATGGCACATCGTAATATGCCATCAGATGGATCCATGTTTCGAAGCCATTGCACTATGAAACATCACATTTTGAGCGATATCTAATATCTTTCTAGGCAGTGGTACGTTTACTGATAAAATTCGCCATTTAGCGTCAAGTAACGTGATTGAAAAAACTGTTAGCCCGTACCTCGTCTTCCTCCGTCGGAGCTTTAATGGATCCCGGGGGCGCCGTGGCCCCACTTCCATGGATCTTCTTCAACGCCCAGCATAATCTTGTACAACTGCGCATCACCCGGAAGAAACAAAACGCCGTGCAGCTCTTCTTATGATCACAGACGAAACTGAAGCGTCCGCACAGATTAATCACAGTCTCTAGCCAGGGCATGTTGTCGCTGTACTCCGTCGACTCTGATCCGGTCCGAACACCCCGTCCCGGTCGTCGTGGGGCGTCACCAGCTCCTCGGTGCTGCTACGACTAACGTCCGACCGCTCCGACACACTGCTGGCTTTGCGTGAGCGGATGCTGTTCGTCCGGTCGCGGCGCAGATCCATCTCCTGGGAGGCTTTGCGCCGGCGGATGCTGGAGCGCCGTGCGATGGGCCCCTCGATGGCGTGTTGTTTGGCCCGGTCGCGGCCCGATTTCAGGAGGTGCTGCCGGCGTTCTTCATCGGCGGCACCGGAGGAGTTGCTGCGTTGCGAGAGATTGTCGTCGGCGATCATGAAACTGATGCGGCGCTCGCCCGGTCCTTGTCCCGTCTGGTACAGCAGCACCTAGGTACAAGAAAATACAGATTACAATACTTTATAAGTTTCTACAAAGGACAAAGCGTGGAAATCGGTCAGCCGGTCACACTCTGAAGTTTAAACATTTTTTAAACAATTCATTTAATACTAAAGCGGATGAATGTTGTCTAAGCGGTTCACCATGTTGAGACGAGACTACTGTTCTGACCTCACTGTCTATGTTTGGCCCACAATTTATCGGAAGTTGGCCAAGCTGTTTCTGAACCCGATTTTAGTTTTGATTCCTCTTTCATTAGTACGCGATGTTGTAATGCATAAGACAGGTGATTTGGCCGACCTGGCGTTTTTCGGTTCTGGTTACCGTAATCATCGCTGACTGTTGACCTTGAATCCTTTCCCAACATGAACAGTCGTCAGCTCACCTCGAAGCGCGCGACTTTTAGCAGTTCGAGTAGAGATGCGTTAAGAGCTTCGTTTCAAAACAGATGCGATGCCCACAAATGGCCAGGCTTGTCATAAGACTGCGATTTGGGAAATCAAAGTCGCCTGTTTAAATCTCGATGTAATATTGCACGGTGCAGTATTGCAGTCTGCACCTGATCGTGACCTTTCTCCTGATTATTGTACATGTTAAGCTGATTACACATGCAAGCAAAAACAAACCTGGCCGTGATCCGCGAATGACTGGATACTCTGGTGGGATGTCGTCCCCGAGGTGCTGGCCACGGAGCTCCAGCGCCGGCTAGCCAATCGCTTCTCCCCCGTCGTGCTCTTCAAATGCCCGCGAATCGTACTGTACTTCTGCCGGGGGAGCATCCGGTAGGTCTCCCTCAGGAACGCCGTGATCTCCATCAGCAGCTGACACGCCACCATCTTCAGGACGAAGGGACAGTTCTGCGCCGTGTTGGGATCGGTGTTGTCGGCGCCCAGGAAGAAGAAATCCTCGTCCTCCACCACGACGGTGTCGGGCGACACCACCGCCAGCGGGTCCACGTTCTCGCTCTTGATGATGTCGTCCAGCCGGAGCATCAGACTCCGTGCCCACTCGTAGAACACCTTCCCGGCGGTCCGCTGCAGGATGTTCTGTTTCCGGGGGGTGGGGGCGGCGACTAAACGTCCAATCGGTCCGGATTGCCGGTACTGCGGGATGTTGAGTTTCATCCACTCGGGCCATTTCCCTTGGTTACAGCGGTGGACGAATTGCGCGCATTCCAGGAGGAAGCACGCGCGGGACAGCACCGGCGCTTGGAGGTCCAGCATGGCCGCCAGGACGGAGGGCTCCGGGACGGTGCCGGGCGGGCAGAATTCCAGGAGGCTCCCGAGGGATCGCATCCCGGTGGTCAGGGCGCTGGTGTTTAACAGGAAGACCAGTTTTGACGACGCGTTGGTGACGGTGTCGTCGCCGTGGGAGCGGCTGCTCTGGGCTTTGCGGGTGAAGGCCGCCCGGGAGCGTGGACTGTCGTCCTCCACGGAGCTGGACTCGTGGTACTTCCGCTGTTTCAAGAGGCTTAAATTCATCTGCCCGGAGCTGTTGGCTTTGAAGGACAACCGCGGTTTCGTGTTGAAGTTGACCCCGCCGGACTCGAAGCTGGTCTGGCGCAGCGCGTCCCCCGCCAGCGACCCGCCCTCCCCCGACACCAGCGACACGGAGCGGTGCATGCCGGTGCCGGCCTCCTTGGAGTCCTTGCTCCCCACCGAGGACATGGGGGATTTTAGCCATTTTTGCCGGATGGTGCGCTTCTTCTTCCCGCGCGGAGAGTGCGGCGCCACGACGCTCTCGTCCTCCGAGATGCTGACCCGCGGTGACCGGATGCTGTTCCCGATCTTCAGGTTGGTCTCGCTGGACTCCCGCGAGCGCAAGGGTTTGATGGAGACCTTGGGGCGTTTGGCGAAGAGGCCGCGCAGGATGCTGGCGGAGGGGGTGGTGGCCGCCGCGTCGTCGAAGGAGGACAGGGCCTCGGCGTCCGTCTCCGCTGCGTGGGGGTGTTGTTCGGTGTCGCTGGACTCCAGACGGGGGTAGCGGAGGAGGGGCTTGCGGTTGACGGCGACGGTGAGGCTGCTGGCGGTGTGCTGGGGGGTTGGGGTCAGGGGGCGGGAGCGGACGGCGGAGGGCTGGCGCTGCTGCGACTCCATCACGCCGGAGAGGACGATGCGCCGGAAGATCTGCTCGTGGGCCTCTTTGATGTACGTCAGCAGCAGGCGCAGATCGTTCTGCAGACCCTGTCAGTCAAGTTGAACGAACAGCGTAAGTATTTTAGCAACTAAAAGACTATCATTTATTCTGTAGATAAACAGTAAGGTGACTTCACTACTCCTTTCCACAGGTAAATATTCACAGGCACAAGCCACCCAGAGCGGAGTCCGTTCTAATAATACCCGCTGGACAGCGGGTCAAATGTTTAGCTTTTGTGAAGCTTAATAAATAAGGTCACGTGAATAGTTAAAATTTAAAAATCCTTGATATTTATGTCTTCTCTAGTTTATCAGACCTTTGCTTTTGGTCTAGCCATTCAAATCAGGAAATATTGTAGTACGACGGCTTTATATCGCACTTCTTTTAATTGTCTTAGAAAACGAAGCTTAGATTCTGATAATCACGCGAGCACATTCGATTAACCGATTAACATTTTTGTTGTGTTAAAAGAAATTTCCAGTCTTTTCTCGTAATAATTGGCAACGCTGTGCTAGCAAAACGGCCCTTAATTATTTTTTGCTCTTACGAGATTTTCCGATTTTCTTAGATAGTCCGCTTTCGTTATCAGTTGGTTGACCAGTGGTTTCGCGGCTTGAGCAGCAACTGAAAAAGACCGTTATTAATTTGTAATATTATTATCGCCATAAAAATATTATTAAAAAATAATTTATTAACAAGAACAAATAATAATTACTACAAATAATAATTAATTAATAGTACTTATAATAATAACAATTTGATAATTATTCTGGCAGTGGCGCCGGCTGATAAGAGGCGGTTAACTGACCCCAGGCGAGGGATTTGCGGGTGTGCTTGGAATGGCGCGAGTGGTCCTGCGCGGCGTGACTGACGCAGCTGCCGAAGAAGGCGTGGCAGAAGTCGACGATGTGGCGCAGTTCCTGCTTGGTGAGGATGGTGCGGAAGAAGCGCTTGGCTTCCGGCTCGTTGACGGCCTGCAGCCGGTGGAAGCTGGCGTAGGCCTGCCGGCGCATGTACTCGCTGGGGTTGCCGCGGCTGCTCAGGCCGGCCGCCGGCACCCCGACTCCGTGCCGCACCCGTGCACGCAACCGATTATCACAAAAATTCTACAATCATAACCGCAATTTCATGAGCACGTTCATATAAAGTGCCTTACCGTCACAAAAATCCAGGTTTTTTATTATGAACAAGCACTAATTTACAAAAAATAAGTTTATTAATTTCTTTGGATACATGCCACTTCACTACGAAGCATTAGCGGCAGCACACGCACTGTACAGCCGCAATGCCTGCAACCTGAACAGTTGGCAATCGTACATTTACGAGCACATACTGCAGCCATCAGTTAGTGCGTTCGCTATCCCAGATGTTATTACTTACGATTAATTTTTAGTAAAGATACAAACGCTATACGATACCGGATCGCACGTAATACTTGTAAGCAATGAATAAGGCACACATTAAACTAAGTAACCGGATTACTAAAAAAAATCATTACAATACTAATAGTTAGTTTTAATTTTCTTATAAAATTTGGTAAAGTCGTGAAAGTCAATTTAATTAAATTCCATAATACCAATAACAAATTTACAAAATTAATTCATCTACACCGACAATGCAAATAATTAGGCACTGATCAGTTACTTCAGTCAGGGTAAAGACGGAAAAACCACCAATCATTTTTTCTTCGGCTACTGGAATGCGACCAATCAACTTCATCACAAAGTACGCTTCCTAATTAGTTAAACCCAGCAGGTCTGTAAAAAATATTCCTCACTATCCATCCAGGTACATGCAAGCATGATTAGCTTTGACGGCTTCGTCACGTATACAACAAATATCACTATACCAATACGAGACAGTCCACTACAATTTTCCATATTAATTCTAATATGCCTGTCGTGTCTCTCAACACATTCCCAAGCAAAACACTGAAAACAAGTAAAATAATCATGGTAACGAGTTGGTAGTTGTGGACTCACTTGGTAATGCAGGACATGAGCAAACGATGCGTGGCCACATCATGCAGGAGCACCGGCGGCGGCGCGCCCGCCACGGGGGGCGGCAGTCCCGGCTGGGAGACACTGCGCGCCCGCAGCACCCCCAACTCCGCCTCCCCACCCCACCGCCCCCTCCCACCCGCTCCCCCTCGCCCTCCCCCTTGACGTCCAGGAGGAGGTCCAGGAGGACGTCGATGAGGGTGAGGGCCACATCACAGATGCGCTGGCTTGGTCGCTCGTTCAAGGCCACCAGCACCGCCCGGATGAGGGCCTGGTAGTTGAGCTCCCCGTCGTCCTGGATGAGGTTGCAGGTGCCGCGGGCCTCCTGGTACTCGGGCAGGGGGTAGGCGATGTTGGAGTCCGTCTTGGAGCGGGGCAGACCGCCCGGGGTGGCGGCGGCGGCGGGGGTGGATAGGTCGCCGGTTAATCCGATCAATCCGGACTCCAGTTCCACCTCCATGCGCAGGCGGTCGTGGGACAGGTCCTCCTCCATCACGGAGGCCCGCGACGGGCTGTTCTCCGTCGTGATGGTGATGCGCGGGAAGGATTTGCCTGTGGGATGGCACGACACCGTTAAAAACACGGACACTCTTTGTCCAGAATGCCAGCATCAATCGATGCCAGCATTATCAATCGATGCCAGCATCTTTATCAATCGATGCCAGCATTTTCCGCCTGAGAAATCTAGTGACTATGTATGGAATCGTCCAATAAGTAAAATTCCATCCTCTGCTGCAGCATATATACAGTCTGTACGGTAACGAAACCTCATAGCGTAATAGGAAAATCAATTAGATTCTAATGCTACCGCGGTACCGCCTTCCGTGAAATTGAAGGAAAACTGATATTTACAGCTCAAATACAAACAGCAAGAAAAGTATAAAACAACACTCCACTGGTAGTTCTTTTTCTAAAAATGTTATAAGAACTTTTAAGTTTTAAGACAAATCTGTTGGTTGTAGAACTTGTTAGTGCAATGCGCGTTATCCGACACGGCGTGATGGCCCCTGTTGCTGACATTGCTGTGCCAGACTACTACGCTTTCCGCCACAGGCTGGCGGTCATCACATTTGCACAATTTTTGGTGGCAGTGCATAGAGAAACATTAAGGCCGGTTCTTCATAATCAGGCGAGAAAGATGACAGAAATACATATAAGAAAGACTAACAAGAGAATATATAACCGAAGTATCATAAAATTAATGGATTCCTCACTATAAAAATTATTGACGACGCTGATCCCATAAATAGTAATTCAGAGAAGGACATTATGGGGCAGTGCATCTTGATCGAATAAATATAATTAAGCACAGCATTCGCAGCATCGCAGGACCCGCGAATGCGATACATTGAATACTGCACCAATTGTTCTGCGCAAGAATGCGCAGCTAATTGGAAATACGCTGCGGAAATTATGCTTTTTGACTCTGTAGTGTACATGATTATACGGTGGCGTTACCTTTGTGGCGAAAGCTCTTCTCCCGCGGTGTGACCGGGTTGGAGTTGATGGGTGAACCCGTGGCGGTCCGCTGCGTACGCTCGATTTCGTCTAGTCCGAAGGAGAAGAGGCGGTCTTGCAATTTGCGCACCCCGGGTGACATGGTCGGCACCGTGTCCTCCCGCGACACCGACTGTCCCCCGACGACGAACCGCGGCCGCTCGTCGATCCCGCCCAAGGGCCCGCGGCGTCGCTTGGAGCCCCGCCGTTCCAGCGGGATCTGCAGATCGGCCCGCAGCGTCGACCGGCTGGTGGGGGAGCTCGACCGGCCCCCCTCGTGCTTGGGGGACTGGTGGGCGGACTTGACCCCGGAGGTGACGGAGGGCACGGAGTTGCTGCGCTGCCGGACGGTGGAGGTCCGCTGGAGGTAGTCGCGGATCTCGATGATGCGCTGCAGGAAGTAGCGCAGCGCCCAGAACATGCCCTCCTCACTCCATGGGGGCACGTACAGACACCGCATCACGGCCACGTCGAAGAAGGTGGCGGCGCTGATGTCGCGGGGACGGGCCCGGCCGTCCGGGAAGATCTGCGAGGCGATGGCCATCTCGAATTTATTGTGCAGAATCTCCTTGTCCACCGGGGAGTCCTGGCTGCGGACGCTGCTGGGCCCCGGGAGGGGCGGCGGGGGTGGTGGGGGCGGCAGGGAGGCGGTGGCGGCGGTAGCGGCGGTAGCGGTGGGGGCTTGAGCAATCAAAGGAAGAGGCTGCGGCTGCGGACGCCGTCGGCGATGGCCGCACTTACAGCGAAAGACGTCATTGTCGGCCGGTTGCACTTTGGTATTGCAGTACTCGCAGATGAGGTCCATCTGCGTGGAGGGCGTCACCGGGGTCTCCAGGGTGGTGAGGGTGCAGATCTCGCTCATGTGCACCAGGGGCGCCTGCAGGCCCGGCTTGCCGGAGGCCGAACGGGACAGTTGAGCACGATCCTTGGCTTCCTGGGCGGCCACGGCCTCCTCCGCCGTCCGCTCCGGCTCATCCAGCAGGAAACCGACGTCCGGCTGGGTGCCCACGTAGATGTCGCCCACGTCGGTGCTGGGCGGCGGGGCCTCGTCGGCCTGGCTGCTGGTGGTGCGGGTGGGCTTGGCCGGGTGGGTGAAGCAGGGAATGTCCGGCTGCCGGTACTCCCATAAAGGCTGCCAGATCTTCAGGCCGTTCTCCAGCCGGAAGCTGGTGAAGTCCGAGGTGCGCAGGTGAGGCAATAGCGGAGCAAAAAGGTAAACAAAAACCTGCGCACACGGAAACAAAATCAGTTACGCAAACTCTGTCATCTGCACCACGCGGTAATTAAATTGTGCATGCGCTAGCGCCAAGATTCGCGATTAGAAATGCTTGTGAACCAAATACCGAAGCACTGTTATAATTAAGCAAGCTGAAAGACAATAAGTTTATAGGTTTGTAGGTTTATAAACTTATAGGTTTATAGGCAGTTATAAAAAAATGAACATTTAATTAAATATGTATATTTAATACTATTGCACTCGTAAAAAATCATCCACCACTTTTACAAAATTAATTATCGCAACAAATTATTAACAGCATTAATTTCATTAAAGAGCAAATTATTAAAGAGAAACTGTTATTAATATTAATTATTAATTTAGTATAATACGATTTCATCGAAATTATTGAATTATACAAAATCTCCTACTCAGAATATTACAGAATAGCAATAAATTATAAAGAAGTTTAACTTGAATTTTCGTAAGGATTTTTTTCTCGACGAGCGTACCTGTAGGGAAGTAACAGGGAAGAGATAAGGCTCGGTGGGTGGGGAAGCTGGTTTGGCGGGGATGGCAGTGGAGGACGTGAGGCCGGCCTGGCGCTCCCGTTCGCGTTCCTGGTCGGCGCATTCGGCCGCCGCGTCGAGCAAGATCCAGTGGAGCGTGTACAAAAGTTTGGTCGCATTGGGCCCCAGCGGGGGCGCCTGGGGGGCCGGGGGCGGCGGGGGCCCGCCCTCCTCCGCCGCCGCCATGACGGCCGCCGAGGCCGCCGCCACCGCGGCCGCCGAGGCGTGGGAATGGTGCCAGTGCGGACGGGACTCCAGACTGGCCACACAGCAGTGTATCACATAGGGCAGGCTGGCCACCACGAAGCGCCATCGGGGAATACTCTGGATAGCGTCCGACAGGCTCGGCGAAAGACCGTGCAGAATGTTCTGTACCACCACGCGCTCAAATGACTGCAATGACAACAACAACAATTTTTCTAAGAACGTTTCCAAATAAACGACAAACTAGTACATTCTTCAAGTGAATATTACGTTCCCACAAGAACAAACCGTGGGAATTATCAGCCGCCACAAATACTTTTTATTTTGCTATACGCTGTCATGGAATGAATTAAGTTCCCACAATAACAAACAGTGGGAATTTTTAGCTGCCACAAATAATTTGGTCTAAGCTGTAATGGAAGGAATTAGTTCCCGCTTCCCACAAAAATTCACCGTGGGAAACACTAACCGCCGTAAATATTTTACCATAAACTGCAATTGGAATAATTACAATAAATTCCCACATCAATAAACCGTTGGAAGCACAAATCACCGAAAATATTTTATTATAAACTTATTTATAATAGAACGGATTCAGTTCCCACAATAGTATACCGTGGGAAACATGAACCGCCACGAATATTTTACTACCAAAACGATGCTCAACTTTCTCGCATATTTTATGGCAGAAAATGCAAGACAGCAAAATAACGAATGCGTCCTGTTTTAGCGTATGAGATTGTTTGGAGAAAGTTTAGAAAAAAATAATCAGACCGTCTCCCCACCAGTCAGGACTTGATCCTGTAATTTATTCCAAACCAGGTCAAAACCACCGTGTGTTTGCCGCGGCTGTACACAATATTTCCGCGACACCGACCGCCCCCGGGGGTGACAGACAAAAGCGTCTCTCCCTTCCCGCTAATTTTAGCCTCGTTAATTGGCACCATCCGGATTGGTATGCGCCCCGGGAAAAAGAGGGCGCGGCCTATTGTGTGTGAATGGGAGCATGGTTTTTTTCGTGGCAATATTGCGGCCGGTTTACTGCTGTCTGTATACTGCGCGTTGACGGATGTGGGCATCTCGCGGCACAGGACAAAGCCAGTGAGTTGGATACAGGGCGCGCGCGTCATCACAGCCAGGGATAAATCGTCGTGAGGAATGATTAAGTGTAATTGGAAAGGGAATCAGCAGCAGCCAGTGCCGCTGACGAGATTGCGTGCAGGTCGAGCTGTGCGATATAACCGCCGCGCGGATGCGACGCCGGTTGCCGAATATATACATACACAAGAAGAAAAATATCGGCCTTCTGATTAGGCGTGAGCCCGGGTCGGTTATTTCCCTTTTGCGCACAGCGCCGGAAGATGAGGAGCGGGGGATGAGGGATAGAAGGGCACGAAATAGATGGTCGTTCGGCGAAGCAGATGTTTTCCGCGGAGAGGAGCAGCGGCTGACGGATGGAGGCACCGGTGCGGCGGCAGCGGATAACCAGTGACCTCCGTATTTAAATGATACCCGCCGACCCCGACTACCGGTGTACTGCTAGGCAGAGTCAACGATCGATGGCGGCAACTACTTCCGAGAGGGATGCCCTACCTGTGCTGCCGCCGAACGCGATAACAGCAATTACGGCAAAATTAATATTAATATTTTTATTTAAAGAAAAAGGCTGGCATTAACGCGAAAACGGTGGACGTTCTGCGATTACCTCGAAAATACAGAGCCTTCTGTAAACTTTGTGAATTTCAAAAAATAAATTCTTATAGGTAAAGAAAAAAGTTTCTCGAAAATACGGAGCACTGTTTAGAATGGGTAAAAAAAACAAAAATATGAAAAATAAAACAATTTATATAGGTAAGAAAACAATTTCTCGAAGTTACGATTCGAATGGTAAAATACGGCAAAATGTGCGAATTAAAAAACAAAAAAATTTATTGATAGAGCAACCAAAATCTAAATCCCGTATAAATGAAAGTAATTATTCGTATAATTAAAATAGTCTGAAAATAGTGTTTTTTCTGTTTAACGTATAAATCGATAATTCGTTGCAAGAAAAATAAAGACAGTTAGCTGGTGTATAATCAGAAATAATAAAAATTTACGCCAATGGTTAATCGGTTAGAAAAACTGTTTATTCAGGCTAATGCCGAAACAAAACACAACTGCACACTGTTCCCATCCCCGCGCCGTCAACGCCCCGCGGTGCTCCGGGCCCGGGCCGTCCTCATTTTCCTTCCCGCGCCGGGGAATGCGTGGGCCGGGCCCTTGGCGGGGATAATCGATGGGAGCAAGTGATTGGGATAAGTGTACAGCAAAGGTTGAGTTTGTTTTTCCAAACTGATAACGGATGGCCGGCACAATATATAGGGCCCGTGTTTGGAGAAGTGACAGGAAGCGGGGGGCTCAACACTCCACCAGTGTATAGATTCCTGATTGCGCAACACCGGCCCGGGATAGATATATCGGGCTGCGATCGGCGCCCGTCCACACGCAGCGATGGGCCAATCGATCACTGCTGCTGTTAATTTATTCGCTGGCGATGGTATATATATACGGGAGCATGGCCAGACAGAGCCCATCGATGTGCTTTCTGCACTCTTTAACATTTATCTTTCCCTAACCTCGTGGCGTGTGTTTGTCCACACAACAGGATGGAATTTATTAACTTATCCGTTGCCCTGCAGCCGTTTAAAGAGATTCTCCCTGATATTTGCCGATTTTACTATATGCAGTAATTAAACAGTATCTTCGACAGGTGGAAAAAACATTAAAATTTTTCCGCTGAAGGTCGAACATTCGGCACGTTATTTGGAGAAAATAACCGGCGTGTAACGCCAGCCAAGAAGGCCGGGAGCTTCGGTTTCCGGTCATTAAACGTTTAGCCTAACCAACCAATCAAATTTGCATTTATACAATCAAACCAAATTTGCCCGGCGTTTATTAATTACGGGAAAGGAGGGTTATCTTTCTCGAGTTTCAACAATGAAATTCATTTTTTAAGGAATAAATTGAATTTTCCCTGCATCTAGTAACCGTAGGAAACCTTTTATTCAGTACACGAAAAGTCATAAAAAAATTATATCTGAAAGATAAATCTACTTGGCAGAAAGTAATTCAATTTTTCCTGAATTTACAGAGGAAAGGAACATCGCCTTATATATTTGGTAGAAACCAAAAAATAAGCGCATTTTTTTAAAAAGTAGCCAAATTTTCCCAGCATTTAATAACCGTGGGAAACCTTTATTTCTTACATAGAAAGTAATAAATAAAATTTAGATCTGAGTAAAATAGATTTACTTGGTACGAAGTAACCAACTTTTCACAGAATTTACAAGGGATTTGAACATTGCCTAATTTATGTTTTATACATAGAATTTTTCTAAGCGAACTTTATAACTAAGCGAATTTTTCTTTTAACAGTAACCAGATTTTCCCAGCACTGCCTAACCGTGGGAAAGCCGTATCGCCTGGTTTATTCGGTATAAATCAAATTAGATTTACTTCTACGGATAAGAAAGCGCGACCGAACACAGAAACGTCGCACGGGGGAAAAACCTAATATCCGCCGGGCCGTTTTTTTACAGCAGATGTTGTAAAGCGTGCGTGTGCGTGCGCCGGTTGCAGTGTGTGTATAAAATACGTGCGCGCAGCCAGCGGCCGGTTCTCTCCTTCCCTGGCATGCAGCAGCGGGTGTGATTGTCGCCAGAGACATTGACATTTTTTCAGGGGGGATCGCCGGCTACAAATTCGTGACATTTACTACACGACTCCCGACCGTTAATGGGCGCACTGGCCAACACGACGCACTGGCCCCGCTGACACTATATACAGTCCTCGCACACACACACACACACTTTCTCCTCATCCATAAAAACTACGCCGCTCGTCAAGCGGGTCGAGCGGGGCGGCCTAACGAGCGCTCCCGGTCGGCGAGTGGTGTGTTAATAGCCCTGCTCGTGGCATGTTATTCCCGCGCTATTATAGCTGCAGCACAGTGCACAGCCCGTTAATTGTACACTGTGTATCGATCGTACCACTGCGCGTATACACTTGTACAACGCGTTGCCCCATACTTCAGCTCGTTTAGGCCACTTTGATTAACTTCTCCCCATTCATTCCCCGGGCTGCCTCCGGGCACTTTTTAGCCTGAGATTACCATAACAGTTTTGCGCCGGGATCCGAGCCGTTAGCCAGCGCGCGGATATGGCGAGAGGCAGTCAGGTATCGGGATGCCGGTTACTGCCGCTCGCAATTATGCTGGATCATTACTTTCCGGTTGCGCGCGCGCGCCCAGGCTCCCGCACCAGGGAGACAGGGCAGCGGAAATTAATGCGGCTTGTCGCCGCTAATTGCCCGCGTTGTATGTATTATCATAATGATCACGCCGGTGTCCGGTGTAATCAAGCTATGGCAGGGAGATTCATTTTTACCGGTGTACGGTTACCAAAATCCACCGATATTACGTGCAATTAAATTCTTCATCCTTCAAAAGAATCCATTAATTTAAAAAAAAACATTTACGCTTGTTAAGTTTGAGTCTATCTAAAAAAGTTCCATTATCTTAAAACTTAATGTCTTTGATTTTTTTTTAACTTTGTTAATCAATGTTGAAGCACATGCTTCAAATAAAACCTTCAGAAAATTCTGTGAAATTCTCCCCAGCATAAAAGCTGCAAATAATAAACACTGCAAATTCCTGCACGATGGTTGCTGACAGTCTTTCACACCAACGGTAAACAGAATCCGCCCGTCAGCATAATTAACCGCAAAGTTCTCAAATTTGGTACAGATTAATTAAAATTTCGCGGCAGACAAATTGTTTTTTTTTAATTCTGTAGAAGGGGGAAAAGTATTCCATAAGGCGTTTCTAACAAAATTTTAAACTAAAATATTTGCGAATTTAATTAACAAGCTATTAAGTCCAAGAGAAACAAACCTAAATATTAAAATCGCTGTGTTTAGTTGGCTGTGGTGCCCGGAAAAAAACCGGCCGGGGTTGGCGATTGCTTTATGCGAATAGTCGATTTCGAAATACAACGCTGTCTCTCTTCGGTGCATTGGTTTTAATGAGCCGACCGGCGGAGGAGAGCAAACCGCGTGTGCGGCACGGTTAAAGGGCCACTAATTGGTCTGAAAACGATCTGATATGGCAGTGCAGCCGGCCGGGGTGGGTGTGTGGGCCGGGCTGCTCTCTCTCCGCTCCGTGCCGTACAGATCTACAGTATAGGGCCGGCGGGTGCGGCCTAGTGTGTGGCCGATGGAGGGGAATTAGTTTTTAGTCGTTTTGACAGAAAATACCGGAAGTTTGCCGTTGATGAGAAGTGCAGCCAGTGGAGACCAGTGCATGCGCCCGTTGCGAGAGGGAGCGCGCGAGAAGGAGAGACCGAGAGAGAGGGAGAGAGAGAGAGTCAAGACAAAAGTGTGGCGTTGAGAAGAAGCCATTTTTTATCGAGCTGTCGATATAGGCAAATCGTTGAGCAATCGTGCCAACACACACTGTGCGCTGTGCACACATGTACAGACGACGCGCCCAGCACATGCACACCCAGCCGGGTATAAGTGGATGAAAAAATTGTGGAATATTGCCATTGATAGGCGGCTCTCTCCGGCCTCCTATAGTAGCTGTATACAGCCCGTATTCGCCGGGCCACAAAAGCCCGTCGTCTTGGCCGCTAATTCCCGGAGGAACATTAAACTGCCATCCACGCCGCTTCGCCTGTATGTATATATCGGGCTGATTTTCCCTTTAACATATATTGCCGGGTCCACGGCCGAATCGGCTGTAATACAGTCGCCCTGGATGGCGGGGATGATGTGATCAGGAAGCCGCCTGGGACGCCCGGCCGCAACACCTTTACACCACCACGACAATGCGCCCATCATAACGGGATAATTGCCCCGCCAACCCCGGCACGGGCGGCGGCCTGGTGGTGTCTCGCTGTGCCCGCGAAACGTGCTGCACAATGGGCCGGGGTTGATAGAATAAACACGCCGTTAATCGGGGAACAGTGGCGGATTTATTTAAACATGTATTTCCGATCGGTGCAGTTGTTGCCAGTCAACGTCAACAAAATTATTGATGTGGAGTGAAAATCTTCCCACAACCCAACACCTCAGGGAAAAATTCATTTTACTAAAAATTCTGCTGGTATTTTTACCGGGAAAACAAATCCTGAAGAAAATTTATAAAATTCTGTACTGGAAAAAATTAATATATATTAAACAATTTTTGCTGAAAGTTTTGTCACACCCAATCAATAAACGCGTAAACCAACGTTCGCAACAATGCACGAAGCGTGGGAACACGCGCGGGATTTTCACCGTAACAGCGCATCGTTAAGCCGGGGCCGGGGATTGGACGTGTGATAGAGCTGTGCGGGCTTAGCGCGAAGGATGAGCGAAAAGTGATTAGGCCGCGCGCCAGCACAGGGCCCCGCAGCTTAATGGCACGTGTAGCCGAGAATTGCCTGACAAGCCGGCACTGCTATCCCCACTGCCAAACTATACCACAGCCAAAATACAACAATTGCCTGGGCTGCGGTTAACCGCGCTGTTCTACTGCACACAAAAAAACACACAGACCGCGTCTTGACGCTGCGCTTCGTTGGGGTCCAAATTTAATTAGTCACTAAATTTCCTCGCGAAAGGCGCGCGCGCACGACACGGCCGACAGTGGAAAAAATCAATGCCGGCATTGGATTAGCTTTTTTACTCTCCATGTACACGAATAACACGCTGGTGCATTTCCGGGCTAGTGCCGGCCGGGGAAAAGGTTAATCAGGTGACGGCCGACAGCGGCCCCCGGATGACACACAGCCTACAGGCACTTACCACACAAGACGTCTCCTGAAGTTTCCGGTTGTAGGGACGGACAAATGGGCTGCAATCACAGAGAGAACAGCGGATTAGTAGCATAGGATTTACCGCTGCTGTAACCAATCACATGATCAACACACACACATACACATCCGCCGCGGCGAGATCGAATTACACCGGTGCGCCGCTAATTGGCCGTGCGGCTGGTAAGGGTACACCGGCCGCACGGAAATACGCACGGCGGGACGTCGCGTTCAACGATGCCGGCGCACGCTACCGTTCCATTATTCTACTGTGACGAAATTGTTATATTGTAATGATAATTGTTCTAGGTTGTGGATGATACAGGGGCTTCGACTGTCCGCGGATTAAGAGCCTCACTAGCAGGCGCATCGGGCTAATCGAGCCTGGCGTCGTAAAACGACTCGCATAATCTGTCCCCGCGCGATAAAAGACCGTTTAGAAAATACGGTGTCATCGCGTCTGTGTGTGTATGTGTAAGGTCTTTCATGGCCGACCACGTGTTTGGCGCATCTCCAAGTCAAGTGTTTTTCCCCGGCACCGAATTACCGCTCTGTCATCGTGTGTGCCACCTTCGCGGAAAAAATGCCGGGGCGCACCGAAACCGGCACGTTTTCTTCAGTATACCAATTCTGTCCGCGGGTAATTTGATGCCTCCCGAGAGAGAACACTTAGAAATTGTCTCTCCTATAATACCCTCCCCGACATCCGTCTGCTGCTGATAACACAGAAGAAAAAACCATTCTCCACGTGTGTGCAATTTTGGCGTAGACTTATTTGTGCAGGAAGCACACGTATCGATTTTGTTCCTGACTGGTATAGCGCAAAATACGTTTTCTCATTTTTTACTCATCCGAACCCAAAGGGTTTCCAACATTAGCGCGAAACTTCACAATGGAGAAAAAAACATGCCTGGTAATTTGTCGTACATGGACGGAACGCGGGTGTGAGGAGAATATCGAAGAGTGTGTGCTGCGACTGTGCAGCGGCAGCCGGGGCTAATCCACGTGATTTGCCGTTTTCCCACTTGTAGCCCTGGGTTATGACGCTGCCAGACAGACTCGCTGTTGGCTTGTATGCGCTGAATGCGCGCCCTGACGACGCGTACTATCAAGGGATGCATATGCGATTAGCCAGCAATTACCGGTCAAGATCTTCATTGCCGGTCTGCTGCATTATGATAATGCCAGGCGGCCGCGTGGCGCCCGCACCAATCCGCTACCTTATCCCCCCGTACAAAAACCGCACAAAAAATGTTTTGTCCAATTTGTTGAGTTAATCGATTTTCTCTCCCTTTCAACGCGCGCCTGTGTTATTGTCGACCCGAGCTCGGTAAATTTACCCAGGATTATAATCGAGTCAAATGTGTCTGGCGCGCGCGCGCCGTCGCCGGCGTCGCACCGGTGGTAAACATAGCCGGACAGTCTGTGTATTACCTCAACTGACGCCACAGGTAGCTTTGAATAGGAATAGGCAGGGCCTCCAGATCATTGTCCTGTTTGTGGTGCGCGTCATTCTTCCGTTTGGGCATACTGTTGTCGGAGCGAGCGGGCACAATACGGCAATGCTGTTGGCGGGATCAGACGTCTCTCAGCGTATCCCGCACAACAACAACAACAACACAACACGACGACGACCGGGACGTGCAACAACGACTGCGGCTGTTGCTGGCAAGTAATCCGCGTCACGGGCAATTCCACCGACATAACCCCAACACGTTAACCACCAGCACATTATTAGGCACCCCCCTTAATTAATTCCGCGGCCGGTGCCTTAACGGCGCTGCATGATAATCATATTTGCGGATAACTGATCAAGGCAGTAAAATCATCAGATATAAATCCCAATTAGATATCGCGATAACGCCGTAGCTTGATGTGTTCCTGTAAAGATAGAGAATATGTGTGGGCCGCAATTGAGTTTAGATTGTACAGTGTATGCGGCTAAAAACCAGGCAGCCAGAAACAAACGCACGAGCGACATGCACACACACACATCCACACACATACACAACTCAAGAACGGAGAGGAGAGAGTGTGCAGTTAAAGTTTTCCCGATGACAGCCGAACCCGGGCCGCCGCGTGCAGCACACTATCAGCCGCAATACACACTCTACAGTCACATACACACTCACACGCATAGACAGAAAACGGGGCTCTGATGATAATCGTAACAAACACACACTAGACAATTCTCTCCCCAACTTACACGGCCTCACCCCATGCCAGGCCGTCTCACCGCGATGACCAGGAGAGGGAGAGAGAGACGCGAAAGCAGGCAAAAAAACCGCCCCGTGTCAGCAAGGGTACAGGCGTCTGATAGATATCGGTGGCTGGCGTAAAAAGGCGTCGAGGATGATATTTCCGGTGAGTAAGCATTAAATTTCCCCAGCCAGGGCAGGATACGCGCTCCCAGAGGTAAAACGTGTGCACTGCACCCCGGCTTTGACAATGGGCCACACACATACGACGCGGATGTGTATGTGTGTGTGGATTATAATCCGATACAAATGTAACGCGCGCTGCGCAGTTCCATATAATATACGTTGTATTAACGGTCTAAAATATGATATCCCTCATTTGAGCCATATCAGCGCTCAAACCGACACACATCCGGTTGTGTAGCGCGCGGGATCTGATTAACATTTTCTTCGGCAGCATGTGTGTATATATATATCAACAAGGGAGAGAAAAGGGAAGAGGAGAGAGAGAGATAGGGATAAGAGACAGACAGGTAACGGATTGCAGCGAGCGCTCCTGCCGAATGGATTTAAGGGGATTGTGGAATAAAGAGCGGGGCTCAAGGAAGAAGAGGATCGGCGTGTGTATATGCTGGGGATGCGCTGCTGCTGCTGTATAACGTGCATTTGTGTGCCTGCTTGTGTTGTGCTGCTGCTGCTCTCGCAGTGTGTGTATAAGGTTGATCAGTTGGAATGCAATGGAGAAGGAAGGGGAGATGCGGCATAATATCCGGAGTTAGGCCGGGTTCTGTATGGGCCCGCTTGCCACGCAGGGCTGAAGAGAGAGCGAGAGAGAGGGAGGGAGAGAGAGACAGGAAGAGAGAGAAGCGTGCGTTGAACAGGGACGCACACAGGCAGTACCAACTTTTTGCCCATCCGGCTAGTTGTGCGTCGAGGGCCATGCGTTGGGTCCAAACAGAATTAGAATTTGTTGCCGTTTTGAGAGCGCTTCCGGGTTTGCACTATATGCAGCTCATATAGATACAGATGTGGTGAAAAGCTTATTTCCTGCATTACAGTATAAGCCGGTTGCCAAATAAGAAAATGTCACTTAATTTTTTCCAGCGCCCGTAATCCTGCGAGGTCACTGATTTGTGAGGTATTTGATTTGCTAGCTTTTAGCGAATACTATAAGGTGGATGGACATTTGTTATAGTGTTCTGTTAAAAAAATTCTTTTGGATAAAACAATTGGCTTAATTTTATAATAAACAGATAAGCATTGCCGAATTTGCTGGGTATAAGTCGTTCGTGGTAAAACGCTGTGACACGGGAACTGGAAGAGGGTCCAAAATCTTTTCATTTCCAAAACGAGTGACTGCCGTGTACATAGAAATTAAGCAGTTTCCGAAGGTGCATCTTTTATTTTCCTTTTAGAACAACACTGGTCAGTGTAAGGCGGAGACGTAGCCTGTTTATAAAATAACTTGCATTAATATGAATTATTCTACAACATGTTTTATAAATGTTGTTGTTATTGTGTTTAGGCTAACTGGAATGCAGCCTTACTGTCATTCCCCGATTTTAGCGACTTGCATGACACGCCTTTTAAAAGTCGAATAACAAATCGCGTAACATGTACATGTGAAAAATTCAGATCATTAGGACAGAAGACCCTTTTGACAGATGCCCACAACGCCACTGCCTAGACCAAGGCCGGGCTCAATGGGATATAGAGATGGATTGGCTGGCTACATGGTGCTGTTGTTTTACAAGGGAAGGCGCGAAAGAGAGAGCGAGAGAGAACGCCGGCACAGTTATAATAGCCCCACAGCCAGGCCGGCCCTGTACGCCAGTAAGTACTCAACATAAACACGCGACGCGCCTCTCCAACAACAGCGCCCACTGCTGCTGACTGCTCCTGCCGAACATACCCATCTACATCTACACACACAGTGCGCAAGGGGGATGATGGAGCGGAAGGCAGTGAAGAACATGCCACACAGGGAATCTGTCAGCACGTATATAGCCCCTGCAACAGCACATGCGTCCGCACCATTCCCGCCCCGGCTAACTGACGAGATGGCGCGCAATCGTGGTATTCGACGGATTGCGCGGTTGGTATTTTTGCACTTTCCCGGCAGATTTCGTGGCCAACGCCCAGCGATTTTAATACACATGCTTGACCTTTTGCCTGTATATGTATATCCGCCCGGATATGGGTTGGTTCTGGTTTGTCTTTGCTGTGTTTGGCCGAGATTCTATTACTTAATTACGGGAAGGACTTATTAATGCGTGCAATGGATGGAAATCATGAAATTGATATTTATTGGGAAAAGTAATTACAAGGCGATAGGTCACCGTTGCATAATTAATGGCCTCCCTGCGTGTGTGCGTCGCACGTCGATGCTCCGTGTAACGTGAATTTAAGAATTCCAGAAAATTCGAACGGATCAATAACAGAATGAAGTTTCATCGCGCGAATCAGAAACAGTACTTTTGTTATCGTGCGTTGCTTGTCAGTGCTAAACTTATAAACAAAGTTGAAAAGCCTAAAGAAAAACATATAAAAATAATAATAATGTACGTAGGTACGGTCTCTTCTCACGCCCACTGGGACAGATTCATGAATTTTATGGGCAATGCTCGTCTTTGTACATATTAAGAATCAATATAAAGATTAAAAAATTAAAAATAATGGTTATACCGGTGCTTTATGAATCCATATAAAGCGTCTCGGTTTCTACTGTGTAAAATAAAATTTTTTGATATATAGATGTGCGCACAATTGTTGCACTGGTTTTTGTAAATATATAAAAAATCTTTAACAAACTATGGTAAAAGAAAATCTTGATTCGCCGGCTTTTTTTCTGGTGTTGTCTCGGTTTCTGCTGCGAAGACTCCGCCAGTCGGTGGGGAATTGATCGATCCGCGGAAAGAGCGTGATAAGTGGCCATATCCCGCGCGCACATCGTCTACAGCGTGCATCAATTGCCGGGCGCTACTGTGCTGGTATATCGCTGCGCGCGCCTGTCTGCAACACATACACACGACACACGAGCAGCCCGTGCAGGCGTTGCTTTCTAGGAGGCATCATTGAGGGATATTATCTTTTCTTCTAGGACCGAACTCGATGCTGATCGCAGCGCAACACTCCGCGGCATCTCGTTATGAGCGCGTAGGAGCGTATTGAGCACTTCCGCCCGTTGGGCCAGTCGCGCGCCTATAAGTATATATCTTAACATCCAACGCACCGAAATTGTAATTCTTACTCTTTTGCGCTGAGCAAAATTGCAAATATGCGTATGTGTTACTATGTATGTGTACGGCTTGGATTTGTTCATAGCCCGATTGCTTTACATATAAAAACTTATGTTTAATCACTTGTTATACAACGTTGTATAACATTGATTAAGTGTTTCTGTTATAAATTTTTAATTATTTCTAGTACTAAATTTGTACTTATTCCATGATACTTATAATTATTTAGAGCGGTCACTCACGAAAACATTATTTCTGATCGAAATGAATTAAGTTGTCAACAATGATTGTTCTTATTAGTAAATACTTTGTTTATAAATTTTAGCGCACAAAATATGCAGATCACCAAAACCTTCTCATATCAAAAGGGAAGGAGAAAGGAATCCTAAGAAATCTCAGAAAACTCCGGCCAGTCGGGTGACCAATCTACCAATTACACATGAAGTGATAAAGCTCTGCAAAAACTGAAATAATACGAAACAAGTAACAAACAAGTAATACGAAACCAATTTTACTGCAAATTATATTCCGAAATTGCAGCTGTTTCTCGCCATGCACTGGCCTCGTGGGCTGTTCTTTGGCAATCCCTCGACTCTCGAGCGCCTCCAGGTCTACAGGATACCTTAAGGTAATTTCACTGCATGTTGACAGTTACCGTTGCATGATAAGCCAACAACCATGACCGCGACACGAAAGCGTGGGATGGGCAGCCGATAGGTCGCTGCACAGGGTCACCGGCATTTTACTGGCGGTTGTCCCATTTGAGTAACCGCTAAGCAAAAAGATGCTGCAGGGGTCACCTTCGTGTATGCTAGTGTATGCCGATTCCTCCAAGGTGCGTCCAGTCAGCAATTTGTACATTTCGGTTTAGTCAAGCAAATGGTGTTAGTGGCATAATCCGGGGGTGCCGCGTTTGCCGCGCCTGTTACAATTATGAGTCCCTGACCAGATGTTCCACTTACAAATATCGTATTGTGAGCCACTGGAGCGCAGTACCGGTTGTTGCTTGTTCCATTGGCCAGCGTGGACAGTTCGCACTGGGATAACCTCGTGCAGCATCCGTGCGTGGTGCTCTGATTTGCGTGGTCACATGAACAACGTCGCACAGATCATGTAATTCTATGAAAAAGAAATCAAGAGTATAAAACATACCGAACACAAAAATGAATAATTTTGAGCTTATGGACAAAAGATTTCGGTATGGCTTGCATGTCGGTCTTGAAACATATGTACATGTAATTACAATAAATTCATGAAACTGACGGATGCTAATGATTACTTAATTTGTGTGTTCGCAGATTTTAGATTTTCGGTGAACCACAGAACAGTCAGATGGCGAATTTGAACAGCTGTCTACTGATATCAACGGAAGTTGTGGTACTTCGTAGTGAACTGGCTTCAAGTGCGCCTTTTGTGAGCTGATAGTAAGCAAACTGCTTAAAAGAAATTGATGCGCTCTGGAGTAAGCTGGATGCAAGTTTCACCTGTTATCTTTAATATTTTTTTAAGTCTTTGGTGAAATACAGACAAATACACCGGAAAAAGCCACTGTGATCGCTCATACCACAATACTGCCAAACGCAGCCGTAAGTGTTATTGTGCCGTTACCGGTTGATAGCTGAAATGATCATCCGAACGGTTACCGTATCTACTTGAAAGAAGACGCATTATACTGAAGGTCAGCTTGGTTTGTCCGGATTTCAACCACAATTGTTCGAATTCTGTGGTTACAAATATTTACGAATATTTCCATTACTCTAAATTTGATTTCCGTGATAGCCAAAATGGTGTCGGATTTTGGATAATTTTTTATTTTTTTATTTTTAGTAATTTTTTATTTTTAGTAATTTTTTATCCTGTTGTACTTACAATACATGCACAGGTTAATACAAACGGTTGCAGCTAACTAGTTCATGGAGATGCAGATGTTTTCAACTGTATTACACGTGAGAACGGGAGGTGGACATTTTGACTTTAGTACGGCTGCCTTGATCTTACGATGAGGCCGAAGATGGTAGACAATTATTCAGATAAAAGGCTGAACGGCAAACGCAAACCGTAAGATAATTTTTGAAATTCTTATAGTCTCCGCCGGACAGATTTTCAGCGTTGAGGCGTTACCGCTACCAAGTGTGGATCCGGCTGGAGGACGGCGCGCAGGCCATCATGCGCGTGAGCCACGCCCTCATCATCGACTACACCCTCCCCTCGCCGCTGATCGGCCGCCCGTACGTCGACTGCCCCGACGCGCCCTGGCTGCCGCCGACCTCCATCAAGATCGAGGAAGTGGCCATCAGCCAGGAGGAACAGGTACGCTAACGGAACACAGGAATTTACTGGCAAAACGAAATGTCCAAATGGACGTTCGAGGTCGCAGGAATGTTTTTTTAATAGCTCTATTCGATGATCATTCACCGGTTGACGTAGCGC